TCTGCAGCCCCCCCGTCTCTCTGCAGCCCTCCCCGTCTCTTTGTTAGAACCCCTCCCGTCTCTCTGAAGCAGCACCTAACGTCTCTCCTAGAAGTTCCTAGAAGCTCGATCCCGCCCCCCCGTCTGCCTCTCTGCAGCCCCCCCCCCCCGTCTCTCTGCAGCCCCCCCGTCTCTCTGCAGCCGCCCCTCCCGTCTCTCTGCAGCCCCTCCCCCCACCTGAGGGGCCCCCCACGTTGGGCTCCAGCCCTTCTGGCCTCCTGCCCCCACCCCAGCCCGGGCAAGGCTCTGAGCTCTTTCGGACCCTCCCCCTCCCGTCCCCGGCGGGGCAGGCCCCCTCCCTCACCAGGGGTCTGCCTAGGGCCCCCCCCGGAGGCCCGCGCCCCCCGCTCCACCCCTCTGCTCCCTCTTTCTGCCCAGCGCCCTCATTCCGCCCCTCTGCCTCCCCCGCTCAGGACACGTGCCCAGAGGGACGCTGAGCACGCGCGGCCTCGTGCGGGCTGAGGCCGGGGGGCGCGGGGAGCACACTCACCCTGAACTGGCGCACCTCCCCGCTGTCCAGCAGCTCGTGCTCCTGCTCGGGCGTGATGGCGTAGGCCAGCTTCTAGAAGACAAGGGGGGCTTGGGCACGGCGCACGCTCGCTGAGCGCACCGGCCCGGGACCCGCCGCCCTGGGGTGCCGTCTGGCCCATGGAAAAGGGGAGGTCTCGTCTGCAGGGCGCTCGCTGCGGGCTCCGAGTGGGAGTGAAGGGCGCGCTCCCCCTGTGAGTCTCCAGGCCGCCGCAGCCCACCGGTCCCGCTCCGGAGACGCTCTGGCGCTGGTGTAAGGTCGCCTGTGGGGCAGGCCCTGCCTCCTCCAGGCTGAGGGGACCCTGCTTGGCCCGCAGCGGGGAGGGGTGTGTGCGAGGGGGCTCTGAGGACCCCGGGCTCCCTCCGTCCCTGCCCCCCCAAGAGGCACGGGCAGTTCCAGGGTCCTGGGGCCCGACTGCGCGTTCCTGCCCCTGGGGGAGCCGCTGCGTCCCCAGCAGGGCCCCTGGACTGGCCAGGGTGCAGCAACAGGGCTCGCTGCCCGCGGTCCCCAGGAAGCCGCGCGGGACGCAGCCCCGGAGCGGCTGCGGAGCGGCCTTGTGGGCCGTTCCTTCCAAGCAGGCCTGGACCCTTCGCTGCTTCCAGGGTCCCGAGCCCGGAAGTACAGTGACCGGTCGCCTGTCCCCTCCTTTGTGGTGGAGGAGCCTGTGTCTGACGGACGCCAGCCCCGCCCCCGGCTCCAGCCCCAGCCCCCGGCCGCTCCCTTCCCACCTTCCCAGGCTCTGTGGGGCACGAGTGTGCCCAGACGGGCACACGCACGCGTGCACGCACCTCCCGCAGGGAGCCGGGCAGGCTGCAGAGCTTGTAGGCTGCGTAGACGGGCACCATGGACATGGAAGACGTGGCGACGGCCCAGCCCAGAGCGCTGGCCCACTCGGGGAAGGTGTAGGCCCCGTAGTGCGGGGGCCGGAAGGTCACGACGCTCACCACAGCCACAAACTGAAAGTGAGGGCACACGTTAGGCGGCGGCTCTCAGCTGGCGGGTGAGGTGGCCCAGGGAGCGAGGCTTTCACGGGGAGGGTCTCCCTGCCCCGCATACGGGAGAGCAAGCGCCCCGCGAGCGGTGGGGGCGCTCACGTGCTGCTCCTCAAGGGCTGCAGCGGGGGGATGCGCACCCCTCGTTGCCGTGTCGGGTGCATGGGAGCCTCACGACTGCCCTCGGCAAGCCTTCCGTGTCATCGTCTCCAGGAGACCCCGGCGTCCCCATGCCTGACCCAGGAGACCCCGGCGTCCCCACCCCTGACCCAGGAGACCCCCATGTCCCCACGCCTGACCCAGGAGACCCCGGCGTCCCCACGCCTGACCCAGGAGACCCCGGCGTCCCCATCCCTGACCCAGGAGACGCTGGTGAATGTGCTGGAGGCAGGTGCCGGGCTGTCATCAGCAGCTTCTGAGTGTCCGGTGATGTTCATATCAGCAACCAGGCTCCTGCTTCCTCCCTGTCTCCCTGCCTCTTTGGCTCTGTCTCTCCATCACTCTGACTCTATCTCTGGCTGGCTCTGTCTCTGTCTCTCTCTGGTTCTCTGTCTCCATATCTCTCCATCTCCATCTCTCTGTCTCTGTCTCTAGCTAGCCCTGAGCTGGCCCAGGATGGTGAGCACCTGAACTGCTGGCAGCTGTAGACGAGCCGCTGGGGGCCGCTGGGCCAGGAGGGCCAAGGGGTGAGGATGCTCATCCCTGTGAGTAGCGCAGACCTAGACAGCCGTCCAACAGCTTCCTGGGCCACCCGTCCAGGGTCCTGAGCCACCGGGACCTGGGCCATGGCGGCTCCACTCGGCTGCTGTGGAAGCAGCCGGGGACGATCCCGACTGAACCCACGTGGTCCTGTGCTACCAAAACGGGTGGCTGGCAGACGTGGCCCTGATGATAAAAGCCAGGCAGCTCCCAGACGTGCTAGCGGTGCCTGGGGAGGGCCCTGAGGGCAGCGCTGTGACAGAATCTAAGTCACTCCTGTCCCTGTGCCGCACCCCACCCCCAAGTCCAGATTCGATGCCTGTCTGCTGATCTGGCCTCACCTGCACAGCGGGGTGTGACGCACGGGGGCCTCAGCCTGGCACAGCTTCCCAGTGCGGCCAGAGTGGGGGGGACGCCGTCAGGAGACCACAGAGCATGTTGGGGACCAGCCTGCCCTTCGGGCCGAGGCCGGCCTGGAGGCCCAGCCCCGGCCTCAGGTTGTCAGGTGAGAGTCCACGTGCATGGGGACCCCGGGGAACCTGCACCCAGCCATGCATGCACGCGGGGCCCCTTACCAGGAGGAAGCAGGGGCTCACAAACTTCCAGCACAGCCGCCAGTACAGGCTGGGCCGCTGCCCCGTCATCTGCTTGATGTCGTCGCTGAACCGCCGCACGCCTGGGGCGGAAGGAGCCAAGCAGGCCAGTCAGGACAGCACCCCCAGGCCTGTGCTGGGTGCTCCCCTCCCTCCTCCCCCCCAGGCCTGTGCTGGGTGCTCCCCTCCCTCCTCCCCCCCCAGGCCTGTGCTGGGTGCTCCCCTGCCCTCCTCCCCTCCCAGGCCAGTGCTGGGTGCTCCCCTCCCCTTCCCCCCCTCCCCTACCTGCACCCTCAACCCAACATATGCTGGGTGCTCCCCTCCCCACCCCACCCCCACTCCCCGGCCCTGTGCACTGGGGTGCTCCCCTCCCCACCCCACCCCCACTCCCCAGCCCTGTGCACTGGGGTGCTCCCCTCCCCACCCCACCCCCACTCCCCGGCCCTGTGCACTGGGGTGCTCCCTTCCCCCCCTCCCCCCTCGACATCACCCACTGCTGGCCAGGACCCCCATGCACATTCACTGTGGTGGCCCAGGTGACACTGGCTCCTCTACCTTCATGATCACCAAGGGACATGGACATGTGTGGGGCCCCAATACTGTCCCTGCCTCCCTTCTGCCTCAACTATTCTTTTTTCCCTTAAAAAAATTGTAAAATATATGTGACTTAAAATTTACCATTTTAACTATTTTTAAGTGTTGAGCTCAGAGGCGTTAATTCACACAGCTGTGCAGCCACTGCCACCATCATACCCAGAACTTTCCTGCCTCCCCGAACTGAAGCTCTGACCCCATGAAATGCTAACCTTCCTCCCCCACCCCTGGCGCCCACCCTCACTTCCTGTCTCCATGGACACGAGTGGGGGCCACACGCGGGTGGGATCAACAGGATTGTGCCTTTGTGACTGGCTTCTGGCGCTCAGCAGGGGTCCCCCGGGTGCCGCAGCGGGAGTCAGGGCGTCCTTCCTCCCCAGGCTGGACAGTGTGCCAGTACGTGTCCACAACCGTCGTTTGTAAGGAAAGCTGTTTCCAGAAGCTGAACGGGCACTCTGTCTAGACCTCAACACGGATTTCTCCCTCCCTGAGACGGGCCTCTGCTCCTACGGCCACAGCTGGTCTGCTGGGCCCTGGGTGAGTCTCGTGGGTGTCACTTGTGGGGACACATGTGTCCCTCCGCACGCGCCCACCCCGTCATCAGGACCCCGGACACGGACAGAGACCAGGGGAACGGACACGCGGAAGCCACGCCTGGCCCCACGGCCCTTCCAGGTGCCCAGCTGTCGCCTCCAAGCCAGCAGGGTGGCTCGGCGCACAGAGAGCCGGGCTGTGTTCACCGAGGTTCGGGGCGCGGCTGCCGTTCCGAGAAGCCACGCGGGCCCCACGCGGAAGCGAGCCCGCGGTCGCCAGCGCCCCCCTCACCCCCAGCAGCACTGGGCTCGTGACCGAGGGCGCGTTTGAGGGGTTTCCTTTTTCACCCTGAGGTGTAACTGGGGGTGGGGGAGAGAGCGCAGTTTAAAATGACAAAGCATCGACTCCAAATGCTGACGAAAGCACGGAGTTCGATGTTTCCCTTTTCTGTAGAGAAGGAAACAGAACAGGAAAGACGTTCCCAGAATAAGAACCACTTGTCAGGGGAGCCTCTCAAAGCCGACGTGTCTCTTCAGACCACGCCGTCCGCGGCTCTGAGGCAGAGATGTGCCCTTGCGTGGCCCTGGGGCTCCTGCAGTAGCGGGCCTGGGGTGGCACCAGGCGCTGGCTGGACCGCACAGGGTCACGGACACGTGTGTCTGCTACACGAGCTTTCTCTGCTGACCCTCTCAGGAGCCCGGCCGGGTGGGGGGTGCCAGCACCACGGCCCCACTGTCCGGGACAGGGACGCGTAGGGCCTTCAGCGCGGGTGCCCGTGGCTGGCACGACTATACCTGGGCACCCTGGCACACAGCGCGGCAGCCTAGAAGGGGTCTGCGGGCGGCCCTCCCCGCAGCGGCCCCCAACCACGAGGGGCTCGCAGTCGTGACCTGGGAGCCCGGGGAGGTCTGCCGCCCAGGTCGGCGGTGCCGCCGGGCGCGAGGGGCCCTGCCCCGTGAGGGGCTGGCGCGAGGGCAGTGGCGCCGTGAAAGCCACGGATCATCCCCCGCCTCGGTGAGCCGCATGGTCGTGCTCCCCAGTGAGAACCAGGCCTGTTTCTCTGCGAGTCACCTCCCGCGTGGCTGCACGCGGACACCTCGGCTCCACCAGCGGTTAGTGTCCCCGAGTCCCCACAAGTCCTCCTCTCCCAGCCACCAGCTAGCACGTGTGTGACCAGGTGGCCAGAAAGCTTCTGACCACAGTAAGCACGTGGGCGCCACCCAGGCCAATGTCCTCGCTGACCCACCCCGGCAGACGGTCCCCGAGCCTCCCGTCCTCGGTGCCGCCGTGGGAACCACACTTCTCAGTGTCCCGGAGCTCACACGCGTGCCTTTCCCAGGCGGCTTCGTCGGAAAGGAAGCGGCACAGGGACAAGGCGAGCGCGCCAGCCCCGGAGGAAGGCTCCGCCCTTACCGTAGAACCAGGCCACCCCGATGGCCTCGATGAGCACTCCAAAGAGAATGGACGTGCCGGCCGCGAAGTGGTCCAGCAGTGTGAACACGTAGATGCCGCCCTGGAAGAGGGGGGTGCCTGCTGGACTTGGGGTGCCGGCCCGGCACACCCGCCCGCCGAAATCTCGCTCACAAAACGCTTTTAACAAAATATAAACCTGGCCTGTGGATTCCGTTTGCAGACGTGTTCTATCTCACGCCCTACAGTCCGACCGGAGTCACTGACAATCAGTCCACACACAGCTTCTCAGGGACGTGCCTTTTGTGCAGAAATGGGAAGGACCTCCCCTCCCCTGCCTCTTCCCTCCCCTGCCCTCCCCTGCCCTCCCCTCCCTTCCTGGAACTCCAGCTGCAATCAGAGATGAAAGCAACCAAATCTCAAACATGGGAGGGCACCGTGGGAGGGGAGCTGACACAGGCCCCCGGTCCCCATGGACGGGCCTCCCCTGAGCCTCCCCTGAGACATGCGCGGCCACAGGCATGTCTCCAAGGGGGTCATCCAGGAGCTGCAGTAACTGGGGGCTGTTTCACATGCACCACAGCTACACTGCATGTGACCGTGGCAACCCCAAGTGTGACCCCGGCGATCCCGAGTGTGACCGCGGCTACCCTGACGGTGACCACAACTACCCCGAGTGTGACCGTGGCTACCCTAAGTGTGACCACAACTACCCCGAGTGTAACCACAACTACCCCGAGTGTGACCACAACTACCTTGAGTGTGACCACAACTACCCCGAGTGTGACCACAGCTACCCCGAGTTCAACCACAACTACCCCGAGTGTGACCACAACTACCCCGAGTGCGACCACAACTACCTCAAGTTCGACCACAACTATCCCGAGTGTGACCGTGGCTACCCCAAGTGCGACCACAACTACCCCGAGTGCGACCACAGCTACCCCGAGTGTGACCACAGCTACCCTGAGTGTGACCACAACTACCCCAAGTGCGACTGCAACTACCCCGAGTGTGACCACGGCTACCCCGAGTGTGACCGCAGCTACCCTGACTGTGACCACAACCACCCTGAGTGTGACCGCAGCTACCCTAAGTGTGACCACAACTACCCCGAGTGTAACCACAACTACCCCGAGTGTGACCACAACTATCCCGAGTGTGACCGCGGCTACCCCACGTGTGACCACACTACCCCACATCATTACAAGTCGCGCCTTGTTTGGGGGGAGCTCTCAGACCCGCCGTGCACGCTGGCGGCACCGCCCGCGCTGACTGGCTCCGAGCAGGAATGAGAACCGCCAGGCCAAGTGCGAGCCGGTACGTACGTTGGTGACGCAGAAGAGGGAGAGGAGGAAGGTGGCCAGGACGATGAAGAGGGTGAAGAGCTCCCGGTGTCGGTGCAGCAGCTGGAACTCGTCGATGAGCCCGGTGATCACCGACTCCATGCCCCCCATCTGCAGCAACAGAGCAGGGGCGCGGTGCTGCGGGCGGGGCGCCGTCCACAGGAGGCTCACCGGACCTACATCTGGGGCGTGGACACAAGTGGGGGCCGCACGGCATCCAGGGTGCAGAGTGCCCTCGGCCGCCGGAACAAGACCCAGGGGTGGACGCCGTCCCCTGCGGTGACCCTGCGGTGACCCCCATGTGCCACGCGGCAAAGGCTCAGCCCGCTTTGTTCCTGGGGAAGACCTGGCGTGGCCACGGGCTCCGTCCTCACGGGGACAACCTCCCTGACGGGGTGTGCTCACAACGGGGCGTCTTCCAGGCGCCCTCCCCCTACTTGGTGAGCCTCTTTGCCCTGCTCCGTGGAGACCGCTTCCTCCAGGAAGTGCTGTTCGTGGCTCCATCCCCACGAGCCGTGCGGTCCGGGGCCGCGGCCACCCAGTGGGCACTGACCAGGGTGGCTGGGACGTGGGGCCCAGGGCGAGGGGCCATGACTCACACTCACACAGGGAGGGATTCGTGGTTCTCTGCACCTTCCAGGAAGCTCAGGGCCACGCACGGGGACCCTGAGGCCTCGGCTGTTGGGCCCGAGCAGGCAGCGGGGACAGAGGAGCCTGAGGGAGTCCCGACGGCCCACCTGCTGCCTCCCTACCGCACACGCATGCACGCTCGCCCACACCCACACACGCACGCCCAGGGTCGCACGCAGGATACTCGGTGGGCCAGGTCTGGGCTGTGGCGCTACCGCTGCCCTGCCCTGCGGGTGCGTCCACTCCTCCCGGGGGCTCAGGGGTCCGGGGGGGCAGTGGGTCAGGAGGGGCCGGCCCCGGCCCTGGGTGGTCCTCAGCCCGTCCCCGTGCTTCCCCCGCTGCTGGCCCTAAGCGTATGCGCCTAGGGCCCGTGGGACGCGGCAGAGGGCACGGCTGGCCGAGCGGGAAGAAGTGAGGAGTCGGCCCAGCCCCCCACCTCAGGAAGGGTCTCGGGCGGTCGTGGGGCCCCTCCCTCCCACCAGGCAGGGGCTCAGCGTGAACACAGAGACTCGGGGGCCTCGAGGGGCGTGAGAGCCTGCCGGCGCCTCGAGGTTGCGAGGGCGCCCAGCTGTCACGCGGGCCCCTCGGGGCACCAGGTGCTGGGGTCACTCACGGCGCTGTCGATCCCCAGGGTGAGCAGCATGATGAAGAAAACCACGGCCCAGGCGGAGGACAGCGGGAGCGTGGCCAGCGCCTCGGGGTAGATGATGAAGATCAGCCCCGGCCCTGAAAGCAGACCCTCCGCTTGCTACGAGCCGGCGGCCTCCTGCCGCCCCGACCCGGGGAGGGGACAGGGTCCTTTCCGTCGCCTTCCTTCCTGTTCTCCCGGACGGGTCCCCTGAGGACGTGCTGGGCGCCTGCCCACGACTCCAGAAAGCAGAGGCCCGAAGTCGGCCGGAGGCCCGCACGAGCTCCCCCAGGGCCCCGGTGCGCCGGGCGAGGCCGCTTCGGAGGAAACGGGGGCAGAGCCAACACGGGAGAGGGTGGGAGGGGCACCTCCGGGTCGGCTTTCTTGTGCGTGTTGTAGACACACACGTGCACCCACACACGCACTCGTGTCAACACAAATGCACGTGTTCACAAGGCATGTGTGCTCACACGCACGTCCACACACATGCACCTGCATAATGCCTGTGCACACATGCTTACACATGCAGCCACACACATGCTTGTAAGGCACCTGCATGCATGCTTGTGCACACACGTGTCCAGAGTACATGCTTACACACCCAGCGGTGCACACATGCTTACACATGCAGCCACACACATGCTTGTAAGGCACCTGCATGCATGCTTGTGCACACACGTGTCCAGAGTACATGCTTACACACCCAGCGCCACACACATGCTTACACATGCAGCCACACACACTTGTGCGCACATGCTTACAAGGCACCTGCATGCATGCTTCTGCACACGTGTGTGTCCACAGAGTACATGCTTACACACACTGCCACACACATGCGCGTGCACACATGCTTACAGATGCAGCCACACACGCTTGTGCGCACGTGCTTACACAGGCACCTTCATGCATGCTTGTGCACACATGTGTCCACAGAGTACATGCTTACACACGCAGCGCCACACACATGCTTGTGCACACATGCTTACACATTAGCCCGCATACATGCATGCTCGTGCCCACATATGCACTTGTGTCAACACAAATGTGTTCACACATGCATGCATGCTCACACATGTGTCCCCCCACATGCACCCGCACACAAATGCTTATACACACATACATGCTTACACACACCCACATACACGCATGCTTGTGCACACACTTGTGCCCACACATGCACTCATGTCAGCACACACACATGCATGCTCACATTGCATGTGCCCACAGACACACATACTTACACATATACCTGCACACACATGCTTGTGCATACATGTGTGCCCCACATGTAAATGCTTACATATGTGCACACATGCACACTCACACACATGTGCCCCCACATACTTACACACGCGCATGCTCACACTATGGTACATTTAGCCTCACATGAATATTTTTCTATGTCAATACGTTACTCTGTGTCTGATCTTTAAAAACCATGCAGTGGTCACAGCAGCAGCACCGCTCAGCAGACGCTTGGAAAGGCCAGGTTTCTGCTCACGTACGAGCCCTGGGGCCCTCCCCTTTAGGCACACCCCCGGGAGGGGGGTTTTGGGTGGAGGACACGCACAGTCCTGCTCCCTCACCCCGTGGGTGCGGTCCGCCTGGGTGTGGAGGCTGCGGCTGGGCTCCGACCGGGGCAGGGAGGCGGGGACGGGAGCCGTGTAGGACTCAACTGGACTCGGTGCAGTTCGGTCTCAAGTGATCCCATAGTAAAAACATTCCCACGAGTGAGAGAGAGAGACCGGTCCCAGAGGTGCGGTGAGCAGAGAATTGAAAAGCGGGGGCCTAAGACTCTCCAGGAGCCGAAGCATCGGCCTCCCCGCTCAAGCCTCTCTCTCTCACCGGGTCCTAAGAACATCTGGCACCAGACAAAACCTTCGCTCCCTGGCCTGGCGCCCGGATGCTGCCCTTCCGGAGGGAACGAGCAGTCCCGGCAGCTTTCCGACCTGGGATGGAGCGCTGCCAGTTCCCTGCGGGCCGTTCTCACGGTGCCCCCGCCTGCTCTCCGGCACACAAGACACAGGTGACTATTTCCACGGTCGCCGGCGCGCCTGCCGAACCTTTGCGTACAAGGACATAACTTACACCTTCCTGAATCTTCCAGTCTCCAGCAGGGCCGCACGGGCACCAGCTGTCAGGATGGGGGCACTTGTGGGTCTTTGTAGAAAACGGAACAGAGGCTAAAGCCAGGGTGTCCCAGGGTCCTCATGGGGCCCTGTGCTCAGACCTGGGCTCTCTGCAATTCCTGTCCCCATGGAAGGGGTGCAGTCCCCAGCGTGGGGGTGAGCGTGGCTCATTAGAGGTGCTCTAAAGTCTAGATGCCTTACGCCTTGGACCCAGGAAGGTGTTGGTCAGCGCGAACGAATGTGCCGTCAGTATCTCTGCCTTTCAGTTCCGAACCTGAGTTAACATTTCACCCTGTTTTCTCGAGAATTAAATCCGTAAATGACATTTACTTTGCTTGCCGTGGAAATGCATAGAAGACGTTCACTCTACGTTGAGGGGTTGATGGAGGTTTTTGTAGGCTATTGTTAGTTCTCATAAAAAAGGGCAAAAGCAGGGGAAATGCAGAAATGCAGCAGTGAGTAAATTTCACCGCTCTGTATTCATCTGCTGTATGTTCCCTTCTCCTGCCTTTATTGGATTTTTTCCTGGAGGAAAGAGCGCGGACTTAGGAAGCACACGGCAGCCCCTGCTTTCCATGCCGGTCCCGGAGGGCCGGACCTCTGCCTCCTACTTTCCCAGCGGCCTGAGGGCTCAGTGCTGCGAGAGCGAGCCCGGTGGGGTGATGGCTGCGAGCCCGGCCCCGGGCGCAGGCGGGGTGGCCCTCGGCTCCCCTCCTCCCCTCCCTGAGCAGCCATCCCACCCCAGACTCAAGGGAAAAGACCCAGGAAGAAATGAGTCAGTGACACCAGGGCTTTCCTGAGCCCGAGGAGTAGCCCCCCAGGAGCAGAGGGGCCTTTGTGGAGGAAGGGAGGGGTGAGGGCAGGCGCCAGGGGAGAATCCTCCTCGCTCACCCGCCGGACGGTCCTGGGGCAGGCGAGGGGTCACTGTGATCTCAGGAGCCCTGGAGTCCTGCCCCACCCACGCCATGGCTTTGCACCGCGTACTAGGTCTGAGCAGCCCCCACAAATGCCGGGGGGCCGCGTCTGCGCCCCACACCCACACCCGGCCTCCTGGCACACCTCCTGCTCCCCGTGTCACCTGCGGCCTCCTCCGCGTGCGCACACTTGGCGCTGCGGGTCGGCTGGGTGAGCGGGCCGGGAACGCGCCTCCCCGTTGCCCCTGTGCCTGGCACTTCACGGTCTCTCTGGTCATCACTCACCTCCCTTCTAAACCTGTCCCAAACCACCTGCTTCTCTCCGGCCCTGCTGTCTGTGTGGCTTGGAGTAGCTCAGAGCCCCCACCCCTCAGCAAAGTGTAAACAAGGTCCAAGGGGGTGCTGGGCACCAGGTCCCAGCCCAGAGACTGGGCCCAAGGCCTCTGGCGGGAGCGTGGTGTGGCAGGCGTGTTGCTGCACGGGGCTCCGTGGGTCTCTGCTCTGGAGCACGTGAGACTCCCGTGAGCCACACTCAAGGCCTGGGCTCTCCGTCCCACAGCGCAGGGTGAAGGCTGGGAGGGCCGGGGGCTGGGGCCGCGGAGCAGGCAGAGTGGGGGTCCCCGGGCCCGCCCCAGGGGGACTCACCGTCCTTGGCCACGTCTCCGATGGGCACGCTGTGCTTCTGGGCCATGTACCCCAGGAAGGAGAAGACCACGAAGCCGGAGGAGAAGCTCGTCAGGGAGTTGACGGAGGTGGTGATGACTGCGTCTCTGGGGAACGAGACAGGCCCGCCATGTGCCGCGGCCGCCGCCGTCTCCTGCATCTGGGGCAGGCGGCTTTGGAGGGGTGCTTTCCCGGAGGGACCCCGCCAGCCTCTCCGCGGGGACCCCGCGGTCACCAGGCCCCGGGGTGACCGGCCATCCAGGTCCTGGCACTGAAGGTGAGACAGTGCCATCTGCAGTGTGGGGGCTCTGGGAGGGGGGTCCGGCAGGGCTCCCAGATGCCCCGGGGGGTTCTTGGCAACATGCAGGTTCTGAGGGGAGGGTCTGGTGGGGCCCAGATGCTGTACTTCTGTCTGTTCCCAGTGTGGGGGTGCCTGTGCTGCTGGCCGGGGGACCCCACCCTGAAGGCTGTAGGGCAGCTGGGTGGGCAGGGGAGCAGGGCGGGGCAGCCCCTCCGGGCGCCAGGGTGAAGGGACAGCTGCACCCCCGGCCCCGGGCTCGGACCAGGTGGGCTCGGGCAAAGGCTGCCCACCCCCGCGCGAGGCCGTCTGGCTGTGCACCGTCTCCCTGTCTCTGTATTTTCACTGCAGTCTTTGTTCCCATAATGTGAAGAAAATAAACACAGGCCCATAAGGGTCAAAGAAAGCAGGTCCCATGTGAACTTGCTTTGGTTTTTGGATGCATTTGGGGTCCAGCATGCGGCTAAAGGTCACTTGGGCCTTCCCGGACCAGGTGGCATGGCCTGGATGCCATCGAGGCTGTGGGCACACAGTGCTGTCACCTCACCACCCGCCTGGGGCCAGGTTTCCTGGGCACCTCTGCACAGGGCGTGGGGCCTCTGGCTCCCTCAGTGCAGGACGGGGCGGCGGGGGGGGGGGCGCTTCCTCGGAGGGGAGTCTTGGGGGAGGCCATAGCCTGGGCACTGGGGGGAGGGGCAGCTGGGGCCTGGCTGGGGCTGGAGGAAAGGGGTCCTCCATGGGGGAACCGGGAGGGGCTTCCTCCTGCGCAGGTGAGGAGCTGCTCCGTGCCTCGGTACCCTCTTTAAAGGGAACATCAACATTTTGCCCATAACTTCTGCCTTTTAATTTCCACTTAAAAAGCCGTTCCGGCTCAGAGGCTCTGCAAATAGCTCCCTCCCTCGCTCATCTGGGGACACGTTCTCTCCACAGCCAGGATCCGGGGGGCCTGGAGTGGGGCCAGGCTCCGGGCTCACCTGTAGCAGTTGTTGGTGAACTTATTGTAGCTGGAAAAGGCGATCAGCACCCCAAAGCCAACGCCCAGCGAGAAGCACACCTGGGTGGCGGCATCTATCCAGACCTGCGCAGGGCAGAGAGGGGAGAGAGGGCCGGAGGCGCTCAGGAGAGCCAGCTGTCACAGGCAACCGTGCAAAAGACCGCCACCTGAGGCTGTGCAACAGTCGAATTTAAACATGCATCGTTGCCAATAGCAAATTGCAGTGACCACATGGCCGGCGGCAAATGCCATCTCGGGAAACAACCCCGCCATGTCGCTGGCGGGGAGACCAGCGCAAGGGGCCGTGTCCCGGTGCCTTGTGTGCAGTGCCCCTCGGAACGTCAGGATGCCACCCACGCGCCCAGGCCCGTCACCCCTTTATTAATGCTGCGGGCGCTGCGCCTCGGCTGGACCTGGCCCGCCCACACCGCCTTATGTCCCTCCCACGGCACGCGGTGTACACTCAGCGCACATGTGGATGGGCCCGTGATGCCCGACTGCAGCTCAGACCCGGGCCTGTGCCTGCTCGGCCCAGCACGGATGGCACTCGGGCTGCACACACGTGTGCAAAGCGTGTGGCTGATGATCGGACCCATACGGCATTTAAAGTCCAACAGGGGTGTTTGTGTTCAGACGACCAGAAGCCTCTCGGGGAGGTGGGCACCGCCTTGCTCCTGCGCAGCAGTGGCTGGGGGTGGGAATCACCCTGGAGAGCCGAGGCCACAGCTGCCGTCCGCAGGGCCTGGGGGCCGGCCAGTCCCGGGGGCCTTCCCTGCAACACCAAGCGGCCCGTGGTGCGGGCCTGTGGGCAGGACCCTCCGCAGTGGCTCCAGGGCGCCAGCCGGCCGCCCATGCTCAGTACCCGCAGGGCTCCGTCACCTGGGCAGCACGCCCAGGGTCTCGGCGTCGCCCTGGGGTTAGGAACAGCGTGTTACAGGCAGCTGGCTGGGCCTCAGCGTGAGAGTTGCCAAGTGGGCAGGGGACCAAGGGACCGCTGCTCTGCCGTCCCCTGTGCCCCCTTGTGCCAGCCACCAGTCGGCTCACCTGGCCGGGCAGCAGCAAGCAGGGGCTGGGCTCACAGGGGAGCTCCCGCCTCCTGCCCAGCCCTTGGCGGGTCAGCGTGCACCCGGGGGCCTTAGCACACGCGGCTCGCCAACCAAGATGTGCCTCCTGGACGTCGGTCCAGGCCTCTGCTCATTGCCACCCACGGACCCAGGTCCAGACTCAAACCGGACCCTTCCCGGGATGCACCTGGCAGCCTCTCTGGGCCGGCCTGGAACCGCCCCCCCTTCAGCTCCTGGCCTCTGCCCACCTGCAGGGCCACCCCAAGGTCTGCAGATGAATGAACAAGGGTCTGGATGCCACCTGAGAGTGCCGACCCCTGAGGGGGACCCCTTCTCCCACATGGGGTCCAGGGCAGCCTGTGTCAGGACAGTGCGGGGACTTGGGCAGGGAGGGGGCCGATGCCCGCTTCTGCCCTGCCTGCCTGCCTGCCAGGTGGGCCCCTGGGTGTCGCCCCGCCCTGACGCGCCTGAGAGCAGTGGGGACGCTGCTGGGCCTCCCGCAGCGGGCTCCAGCAGCTCGCTCTGGGCGGGAGCCCGGGGGTGGGGCCTGCCCGGGAGCCGGCGACCCGACCTGCGCCACCTTCTGCACAGGTCCCTGCGTGCACCTGAGCCGAGCCCCAGGGGAGGATGCCCAGCTCACTCGATCTCTGCGTGGCCACCAGAGTCTAGGGTCGGGAATACGGCAGCCCCCAGGCCAGGAGGAGCCCCGGGAGGATCACCGGTGAGGCCCCGTCTCTGCTCCAGCCACAGGACGCCCGGAGGAGCTGATGCAAAGGGGCGCCGGCACCCCACAGCAGGGCCAGGAGCGGCTCTGCCCTCTGGACCCGTGACTGCATGGACCCGTCTCTTTGGGACCTCACCAGAGCCCGGGGGGTGTGGGCCTGCTCTGTCCTGGTCTATGTCCCTTCCTAGCCCTGAGCTGACAGCGTGGTTGGGGAGGCCGGGTCACACTGGCCCAAGACATTCATTGTCTATCCACCACCTGTCCTCTGTGTCTGTCAGTCAGTCACCTAACCATCCATCCATCACCCATCATCCCAGCATCTACCCCCATCACCTACCTACCTACCTATCCATCCATCCATTCATCCATCCATCCATCCATCCATCCACCATTTATCATCCATCTACCCATCTACCTATCACCTACCCATCTAGCCATCTACCTATCTAGCCATCTACCAATCCATCTATTCATCTATCTACCTACCTACATATCTACCTATCTATCCATCCATCCATCTACCCATCATCTATCCATCCATCCATCCATCATCCTCTATCAATCAATCCATCTATCATCCATCTACCGATCTATCTACCTATCCCTCCATCCATCCATCCATCCATCCATCCAACCATCATTTATCCATCCATCACCCATCTATCCAGCCAACTATTAATCTATCTACCTATCCATCCATGCGTTTATCCACTCACTTATCTATCAGCTTCCACCTTCCGTCTGTCATCCATCATCTACCTGATTTTTGACAGCCTCTCATGTCTGCCCTTTCCTCTTCCCCGCCTCACACGCAAGCATCTTTCCGCAGCATGTTTGGCTTCCTCCTGGGCACTGCCCGGTTTTCCTGCCCAAAGCACTAGCCTCTTTATGTCGTTCTCATGTTATTTTCCTTGAATTCTTCCTCTTGCCCCTCCCCCGCCGGCCTCTGACACCCACAGCCTCGTCTTCCTGCAAGAACACCGCGTCTGCCCATTGGCTTTCCATGTGTGGATGCTCTCCCGCTTCCCTCGCTCACATGGAGCACCTGCCTGCTGCTCTCACGGCCTCACCGCCTGTCCTCGCGTGGCCGCCGTGCGCTGCTCACCCTGCCCTCGCCTGTGGGTGCCTCTCAGCGCCGCTGCAGCTGCACAGCCTCCCTCTGCCGCTCCCCTGCTCCCCGGCGGTTTCCTGGGGGCTAGGCGCCGCCCCTGCCTTCCCTCCTACCTGCTGCCTCCCAGTTCTACCTGGGGCTGCGCCTTCCTGCCTCTATGCTGAGCGCCACACCTGACCCTTACCGCCACCTAGTGGCGCCGACAACAATCCTCCAAACTGCCCCTGGTCCCCAGCCTGGTGCCCCCATGCCCAGGCTGCCCTCCCTGCTTGCCTCCCGGCCCTGTCGCGGTGCGGCCATTCCCCTGGGTGGCCACTGGGGTCCCCACCTTCTGCCAAAATCCAGTGCACCCTAATTCTCAATGGTCTGCCCTGAAGGCCACCTTTTCTGTCTCCCCCACCTCTGCCCAATGGCCACCCCCATTTCTGGGCCTTGGTTCCCTAAAACGCTGCTGTGGCTTCTCTCTCCCTCTCGGGAGACCTCTGACCCGTGGCCTGGCCAAGCCTCGTCTTCAGGAGGTCGTCTCCCAGCATTTTCACACAGAACAATTGCCTCCTTTGCCGAAGAGACGTGTGGCTCCCGTGTGCCGCAGCACCGTGCGTGTTTCACCAACAAGCCTGGCTTCCTGAGGAGGGAGCCTTGGTTCGTGCACCGTGATGAGCAGGGAGCCAGAGCTCGAGGCTGCGTCCCGGGTGCGTGGCTGCATTGCGGGCACAGACCAGGCACAGGAGCCTGAGTGCTCGTCCGGAAGGGGGGCGGGCCGAGGGGGAGGTGCGGTTGCAAGCAGCCTTCCATTCTCCTCCTGCAGAGACTGAGCAGGGGCCCTGCTCCCCCAGCTTCCTTACTTGGTCCATTCAGCCCCTGCTGTGTGCGCACGGCCCCCCGTTCGAGTGCCGGCGTACTCTGCCCGGAGGGTCTGGTGCCGGCCGGCACGGCAGGGCGAGTGAGAGGTTCTGGCCCTGCTGCCCCCTTTGGGGTCTCCTGCCCCAGATGCAGGGGGAGCCCGGGCACGGGGGCTGCCCGCGCATGGGGACAGTGGGGCCACAAGCGAGGCCATACTCACAGAAGACTCGCAGAGTCGGTGGAAGTCTACGCTCAGGTACGCTCGGATGCCGTCGATGGCCCCAGGGAGAGTGAGTCCTCGCAGAAGCAGGGCAAAGAGGACTGCGTAGGGCATGGTGGCTGTGATCCACACGACCTGGGGGAGCACAGTGCCCCCGGCGTCACTGGCCGCCCACCAGCGGGGGGGGCACAGGGTCACCGTGCTTGGTGGCCTCTGGTTGGGAAACTCATCGTCCCAAATGGTCACAGGATGCCAGCTCAGCAAAGTCCCTGCAGCGGACCGTTAATGCCCTCTGTCCTGTAACTTTCCCAGGGATTGAAACAGACAATTTGGCAGAGAAAGGACATTCCTCTTCTGCATTTGGTCCGCAGCAGTGGGCAGGAGGGGCTGAGGTTCTGATGAGTGAAATGCAGTGATTTACACTGGGTCTGCAAATGCACACATAGGTGGTGTGTAACAGATGGACCCTGGACTGGGAGGCAGGGAAGGAAAGGAACCTGTCTTTACCGAGAGGCTCCTGGGGGCGGGCATTCCACTGCCCGCATACAGCAAGTGATGGGCACAGTTTGGTCAAAATGGCTTTGGGTGCCCAGATAATAACCAAAATATTTTCATCAGCAAAACCCAATTTATGTTGTGCTTGTGTTCATGCTGGAAACACGCTGCTGTGAGCGCCTTCTCCCTGACACTATTCCTTAACTACGGCCACTGTCCACTCCCCAACCCACCACACCCACCTGTCCACTCCCCAACCCAACCACGGCCCCCAAGCTCACTCCCCAAGCACGGCCATGATCCACTCCCAGCAGGCAAGGCCTCACCTTCCCAGAAGTCTTCACTCCCTTCCACAAGCTGAAGTAGAGCAGGATGATGACCAGCACCAGGCAGGACGTGAGCTGCCACCGAGGGGCACCCAAGTCGTCGATGCCGTGGCTCTCGTGAAGGTGCAGCACGCCGCGCCTGGAGGGGGTTGGACAGGTGGCTCCTTCGGGGGTGCTGCCTCCCCACCCAGAACTGGAACGGGAAAGCTGAGCTTGCCCAGCGGACTTCCCACCCCGCAGAGGCCTGGCAGAGAGCCCTGGGCCTGATGAGCCTGGAGGCCCCACTCGGGAAGGCCAGGCCCGCCGGCCTAGCCGGGATGCAGGGTCTGTGCCCTCGAGGCTACTGCGTGCAGGGAGCCCACAGAAGCCCAGCTCCGATCTCTCGTCCCCAGCACCCCTGCTCTGTGGAGCTGGGAGAGGAACGGGTGCTTCGGGTCTGAAGGAAAGGAGGGAAACCGGACGGCAGGCACCCGGTGACGTGGCAGGAATGAGGCTGAGCCAGCTCAGGGCAATGACGCCGGACCTGCGGATGCCCTCGCCGCTCTCTGAGGGGACGAGCCGGCGCCACCTGCCCTCACGGCTCCAGCCGCCTCGAGCAGCATTCTGCGGGTAATGACTCGGGATGATTCTGCTCCAGGCTCGCTCCAGAACCTCGTCTTGTGGAGGGAATCCAGCATAAGGGCAGAACATGAGGCCACGAAGAAAGAGAACGGGACCCATGACCCAGGGAGCACTCCTGGGGGCCGTATCCCCTCAGGTCCCCGTGACCGCCCAGGAGAAGGTGGCGGTGCCGTCACGCTCGCTGTGCGCCTGCTACCTCACCCCGGCAGCCGGGAATTTGCACGGACGCGGACCCCAGGCTGTGCTGCTGCTCTGGGAGTGCAGGGACCCCACTGTGAAAGGAGCCGTCGCTGCCCAGGTTTGCTGAGGTCCTCAGAAAAGAATCCTGATGCCCACGGTAGGAATCTGCCGGCCCCAGAGCTTTCCACCAGCTACGGGCATCATGGAGCCACAGTGGAGGAATCCAGACCTAGAGACTCCAGAATCAGAGTCTCGGGCCCGGGGAGGCAGCGAGGGCACGAACAGAGCGCAGCTCACCACTCCCAGCTCTCTCAGCAGCGTCCAACCCGTCACGTCACCATCTCTCCTCTACGGAGTGCAGGCTCCCCCTCCAGTGACGGGAGCCCCCACCTGACACACACGTGCCGTCCGCTGGGTGAGGTCTAGGAGTGGAGCTCCCTGGGGGCGGCAGAGAGGCAGGCCGCTGCTGCGACAGGCTCAGGCGGCTGTACTCTGCCTCTACTGCCCTGAGATAGTCCTCCCCGTGGCTGTCCTCCCC